GGCCACACAGCCCGGAAGACCCACCCCAGCCATCAGGAATATGTATTTAGCTTTGGAAAAGCTTTATCTGGTTCATCTGTATCTAATTGACTGTTCCAGGAAAAAATGAGAAATTGATGGCCATGTATTATGGTTTTCTTATGCACAGACCTGACTGATGTGAACCCAACCATTCCATTCATTCATTTCATACTCTTCCATCAATGAGGAAACAATAGTTTTTGACACTGGGGAACCAGTGATTTTAAGCAGCAGAGTGGAGAAGGGACACCGTTTTACTTTCCCAGACCTCCCAATGAGCCTACTCTAGACTGTTGATTTATCCTCATCATTAATACTGTTGCTCTCATTGTTTCTACTTGTTCAAGGCGTGCAATCTTCAAGGGATTGTATTAGTTGAAAAAACCCAGATAAGCAACCAGTATTTCCCCGAAGTGCAGAAATTTGTCGTCCTGGAACTTGGAATGACATTACTTCCAGTGGCCAGCCAAAAGGAAGCTGCTCAACTTATCGTTCAGTTGGTAAGTACCTTCAAGAGCTGTTGATACTGTTAAATGGGTATCTGTCTTTAAAGCAATGTTTTTCAAACTTGGCAACTTTAAGATGTGTGGCCTTCAATTCCCCATTGCTGGCTGGGGAATTCTGGGAGTTGAAGTTCATAGTGTGGATGGTCCTTGGATGGATTAATGATTAGAATTGGTGTACGGTAGCTTCACGTCTTTAAATGGTTCTGTAGGAAACCGAATGCTGGACTAGACAGACCTTGGTTTGAGGCAGCAAAATAATTTGAAGAATAGGGTTGTGCGATCCTATTAAATAGTTTTGGAGGAAGTACTTCAGAATGCTCCGAAACTTGAATGCAATACCTGTCTGTGACTCATTAAAGTAGCTACGTTTGTTTCCAGGATTGTATGGCTCCAGCAAAAAGATGCTGATACTTTAATGACTGCTGGTCTGTGGTCCTGGACATTCCAAAGTGCCACTTTCACATTGCATCCAAAGCACTACCCTTCCTATTACGGAAAATCTTTCTAAATCACATAATAATTAGCACTGAAAACCACAAGAGGGCACCCAGACTAAACTTGTATTTCATTTCAGGTGCACGAGCAAACTAAGTCCAGTAATCCCTTCCATAGTAAGAAATCCACAAAGTTCTTGGAGTCATCTGTATTCCACACAGTTCAGCAGATTCCAGGAGTTGGAAAAACAAAGGCGTTGCTTCTTCTGGAAAACTTTGGAAATCTCCATCAGCTTTGCAATGCCTCTGTCCAGGAGCTCGAAAGAATAGTTGGCCACAGCCTGGCACAACAAATCCATACATTCTTCACACAGACAAAATAATCACGGTTTTTCAGTATCAGAGAGAAGCTTTTTGAAAGGCTGGCACATTCTCTTACACACATGGTTGGATTTCAGTTTGTATGAAACACAGAGAGCCTTCTGTTACATTTGAGGAACAAATAAACCAGGAAATTATTTTTAAGCTCCATGTTTCCTCCATCTGGGCTTTGTCAGGGATAACCTTGGCTTTCAACTAAGGACAGCTGGAAGTGATGCTGCTTTTTATGAATTGCATTGGATGCTTCCTCCTGGAGAATTAGCTGTAGCACCAACATCCCATTTGTCTCCCTCTAAATAGTCTTTATTAATGTATTAACAGTTTCTTAAGTAAGTTGTTCTTCATGTCAAGCTCAGCTCCTTCTTAAAGGAACAGTCAAATAAGGCTGACTTCATCTCTGTTTGTTAAGACTGTTGAAAGATATGAGGTCAACTTTTTGAGCAGAAAAAGAGCAGGTGGTTAAATGTAAATGAATTTTACGTTCGTTCAGAAGACCATCCCTATTGCAAAGTAGCTTTGGACGCATAAGGGGAACCTAATCAATCCACTTGACTTTTGTCTACCGTTCATAACTTGTTTTTGGAGAAGTTTTATGAATTCTAAGCTGCTGAGCGTCTGCCTTGAATGGATTATTTGCTGACTGACTATTGTGAACAGTAAGATGTTATGTATTTGATTTTTGTTCTTGTTAAAGTCAGTGGCCAATTCCCTGTTCTGATTAGCTTGAATAATAGTGATGAGATAATAGTAGCTGACTGGATGGGTCATCAGTTATGAGGCTTGTTCTCACTTGGTCTTCATAAGATTGGCCCAAGGAGGTCACTTTGGACAAACAGCACTATAAAACCCCAGCACTATAAAACCTTGTTTCTCTCTGGAATTAAGTATGATTCTGCAAAACCTTATTTATAGGTGTCATCTAGGCTTTCCTCCATTCTTGATCTGTGCTCCTATGGATCTGCTCTATCAAAAACATTTTGTGACAGGTGGGCATGGGAGGAAACTACTGCAGGAGTGGAACCTGAACATTCTTTTTGCACAAGGCACCTTAAGTGCTGCCAAACTGAAATATGTAGGAGTATCTGAGTGAGTGAGTGAGTCATACTTCTTAGCTGCCCAGAGGCACTCTATATCACTTCCAGCAAAGTTATGCTTCTGTGGAGCTTAAAGGTTGTAACCTGGTCCTTTCAACCAAAACTCCCACACGTCTTTCAAAGAAAGTACACATACCTCACATCAAGTAGGATGGGGCAGAGTTACCCTTTTGGCACTTGACTGTACGTGGTCTAGTTCTACAGACAGCTTGGGCGAGCAGCTGTTTCTTAGGGGATGAAATAGAGAAAGATACTCAAGCTTGGTTCTGGGTGCCTGTGTTGGTCCAGTTTTCTCGGCAATGTTGCAGGAGTGGTTTCCCACTGCTGCCTTCCAGCATTTATTTATTTTTTACTTCTATTCTAGTCGCGTCACCCCAGAATGTCTTGGCGGTATTTCTTCTAAGTGTTAAGTAGGTCCTCCCATGCTTAGCTTTTTGAAATCAGCCAAGATTGAGTAGGTGCAGCCATCTAACTGGGCAGAGAAAGAGCCTAAGGCAGTTTTGACCTCTTGAACAGTATTTATCATTACAGGCACCCCTCATTCATGGCTGAGTTCACATTGTTCTAAGCCAAGGATGAACTTTGTTGATGGCTGAAGGCCACAATTAACAGTAGGCAGGTTGATAATGCAAAACGGGTTAATCCAATACTCTTGCTACGTCACAGAGGATTTGCACAGGGGTGTTTAGAAGCAGGTTTTGCAATTCAGGGGAGATGTTCCAGGTACATGCAGGAAGACACTGTGTTAAAACGATTGAGATTCCTTCCCTCACGCCCCCTGAGTCAACAGAAGGGCAAAACCATTAAGGTAATCTTGTCTTGTATGAAAGATAACAAAAGGTGCCCTCGGGTGCCTGCCTTTCTCCAGGAAATTCAGCTGTAGTCATTTAATAATCTTGTAAAAAAAAAATTTATTTTAAAAGGGCAGGTAGGACAACTGCTAGAATTGCAAGGTAACCACACCTTTATGGAATAGACTTGGGGGTTTCAAGGGAATGGTGACTTGATGAGGTGGCTACATTGTTTGTAACCTCTAATGTTCTCTTCTAGCCTTTTAATAATAATAATAATGTTTTAATTGTAGAATGTTTTTTAATATTGTCATTTTATGGGGTTTTTTATTGTACACCATCCAGAGTCCTGTTTTGTGAGATGGGCGGTCATACAAAGATGGATGGATGGATGGATCAATCCAAGAGATTCAGGTCATAGATCAATATGCTGAAGTGTGTAAGGTTTCAGCACAGAGCTTCTTTTATTCTGTGCCCCCTTCTCCCCCACCTTCCGTGGTTGTCAACCAGCATAGTATGAAGGGTGTTTTGGACCACTCCATCTGCAGAAAAGTGACGACAGAATCTCGAGTGCCTTCCACTGCGGTTCCTATGAGCTTAGGGTCAATAGTTTCATTTCACTGAACATTGTACATTTGACTCTGCTCTTCTGTTATTCATCTATTCTACAGTATTTACAAATCACAGTTCTGACTTTAACAAAACCCTATCAAAAACTGTGACATTTAACAGTACACATGAATACCTGATTAATTAGGCAATAGATTCCATTTTCAAGTTATTTTCATTTAGGACTGTGAGTAAGATCTTTGAGTAACTTCATAGGCATGTCCATGTTATTTTGGCAACATTACAGAAGTGATTTGTCATCTTTCAGGATGTCATTTGATTTCTTAGTCTATCTTACAGCCTTGGTGTTTCCTAGTATTCTCCCATTCAAGTATTAACCAGATCTGATCCTGCTTGGCTTTCCAGGATCAGCCAAGGCCTTTGTGTGATCTAAAGATAATGGGGCAATTTATTTGAATTGCAGTGCGAAATTACCAAGGAAGACAAGCCTGAATTTAAAAAGTTCCCTTGCCCAAAAAGAAAGATTAGACAGGAAAATATGGCTTCTTTACAAGATTTTCAGTTAAGCTAAATTTTACTTTCTAAAAGTACATTATTCAGAGAAAAAAAATCCTTTTGGGTAAATTACAATACAATTTTTTGAAAAATGAGCAAGTCTGGCCTTGTTACAGGCTGCAGGAATGATATTATATTGGTACTGGATAAGAATCTCTATTCTCCTTGGTAGATTGAATTTGGCAGTAAGGAGCCTTTTTTTGGCAACAGCAGGATAAGCGGTTGCTACATTAGCTTTATCTGATTGCCTAAGCTTTATGTATATGCTTCTCTCTATTGCATTTTTTCTAACTTATTACAGTCAACAGGTTTTGCAATCATCTCTATGTATATTGAAATCCCTTCATTTATGCTTTCAAGACCATTTAATTGTTTTAAGTGGCTGCCCTGTACTAGCAGAGTAAGTGAACCTATCATTTGAGAAATAAAAAGAGTGTAAGGGCTGTTAACTGCTATTGAAGTTAAGTTCTTAGTCTCATCTTTTCTGTTATTTGTCAGAATTTCTGAGATGGCCATGCAGATTTACAAGGTTTCAGTCCAAAACATTAAAAAAAAAAAATAAGGGTGCTGTAAACCAACTTTAGCATAACCAGGTCATCTTGGAAAGACTTGGGAGAAGCAATGAAGGGAAGATAGTTCTGGTCCTCAGGATGTTTCTTCCTGTATGCATAAAATATATCTTCCCCTATACCTGGCAGCCATTCAGCTGTCTTGGACTACAGACTCCATATCTCCCCTCTCAAGAAAAAATTATCCCACTTCGGACACATTATGCAAGGACCCAGCTCTCGGAAAAGGCTTTAATGCTGGGAAAGGTGGAAGGAAAGAGAAGAGGACGACCAGCAGCCAGGTGGATGAACTCAGTTACAGTGGCAGTGAGTGTACCCTTGGGAGACCTGAAAGAGCAGGTATGGGATAGATTGTCATGGAGATGACTGTCTACGTGGTGATCATCATGGAGATGACTACAGGGTCGCCAGGAGTCGAAAACAACTTGATGGCACATGATCCAAAAATGACAAGAGTTCACAGTGCAACTTCATGATCTCACCCATGACCAGATCTAAGGATCGAATTTATTAAAGCAAAGCTACCTTAAATCCAATGAAATTCTGGCTGCCTCTAAAGAGGCTTTGAACTAAGTGGCCTTAAACTTGGACCTTGTGCCAAGTCAAAATGTTTTGGATCAGGCTGCACAACGCAGGATCACAGTCATGTAGTTTCAGTCCTCACACATTTAGACTTGGGAACACATCAGGTTCAGTGGGATTTATTTTAAAGGACACATACAAAATGTAGGTTTCACCATTCATTCACTTTGGTTGCTTCACGTATGGACTCCAAAACTGGGGCAAAGAACCTTTCTTTGCTGTTTTCCCCCAAGGCAAACGTTGCGAATTGTAAGTTGGCGAGATAGATCCCTGGGACGAGGAAAAGCGAGGGGACTCACCTTCTTTGCCACTAAGCAGAGACCTTGTTTGCAGAAGGTTTCTGAATTTTGGCTGGGGGTTATAGGTCACTCACCCTTGCATTAACCAGCACAGGAACTTACAGTAGCATTTACAAATTACAGCTGTTCTGGCCTATTAGTCAAGAATCCGAACCCCACGATTGGGCAATAGCTTGATTAGTACATACTTCTATGTAATTTTGCTAAGTCCTAGAAGCAGTAACATAACCCAACTGTGCAGTTTTATACGTCATCGACATTTCTAGCTAGAATGCTGACCTGCATAAAATAGGTGGTTGGATTTGGGAGTGGCACTCAGCCACTGTGGTGTTAACCAGGGTTTTATGGCAAAGCTAGAGAATATAACACCTATGGGCATGTGTGTTCCAAGATGCCTCACCTGGGACCCTCTGAACTCCCTATCCCACCTGATTTTAAAAGAGAATCTTATAATCAAAAGGATGAAGCTAGCATTTCACAAAACACTGCATGGTAGTTTGTTTGCAGGAATGCCTTTAGAGTCCCCAAAGATCCCACTGGGGCGGTAGAGAGCATTCTGGGAGGCTAGTTTACCTGTTTATAAATAGGCATTTTGTGATCTGCTATGCCTGCTTGGGTGGCCATTTTGTGAGTGCACCCACTACATCCATTCAAAATCTCAATGTGCCCTGGATCAAAAAGTTTGCCTACCTCTGCTTCAGTGTTGAACCCAGCTAACTGTACCTTGATCAAACCATGGCATACTATAGTGCATGAATTCAGCCACTATACATTTCTCTGGAGAACCCCAAAATCAAAAGTGGAATATAATCATAGATATGTTACTGATAACGACGTGTAAGTGAAAATAACAAATGAATCCTCCCAACCTACATTTTATTACACACTAGAATTAGTTCCACAGCATTGATTGAATATTGCACAATAAGAATAATGTAAAGAACAGCCACTACTGTATTACATTCTTTTTTTAAAAAAAAAACCTTCATTCTGAACAACCATAACAGTTAAGAAAAATTAAACTTTTCTCTTATTCATAATTGCAGTAAAAAGTTGTTCATTGTCACATATAAGTCAAAACCAGGACTCATTCTTAAATAATAGTTTATATATTTACATCTACCATGTATAAACATAAAAAGACCCCCCCCCCCCAAAAAATGGCATTGATCTACAGGCCTTCCAAAAAATTTTTTCCTAGTTCTACTCTAATTTCTTCTAAAATTTCCTATAATGGAGGAGTGTCTCAGCTTCCTGTAATGGATTCAATGAGTTTGAATGGGAATATGGATTTCCCTTCCTTAAATGTTTAGCCTATCATTGTTAAGATTTACCTTGTAGGCCAGTGGTTCTCCACCCTTGGAAATTTTAAAAAAAAGGGAATACACACACAAAAAAACCACCACCAACAAAATT